AACTTCTTATTATTGTTTTGCGTATTTGATGACGAAAATCAGTGATTGGTACAGCCCTAAATTGGACTGGACTGCACGTGGAATACATGCACAACTTGCGCGAATTGACAGTATCTTAAAATTGAAAGACCCGGAACTCTCACGTCATTTGGTCAGTCTGAACATTACAAATACACTCTATTTGTTTCGGTGGGTGACACTTTTATTCTCTCAAGAATTCACAATTGAAAATGTATTACTTATATGGGACTGCATTTTAGTCGAACCGACCGGAGACTTTGTTGGGTGTTTGTCTGTCGCGATGATTATAGAAATCCGAAAGGGGTTGCTTTCGTCCGACTTTACGGGATGCCTTAAATTATTGCAAAAATACCCGACTACTGTTAATATAACAAATGTTATTAAAAAGGCTAAAAATTTGTACACTGAGAGAAGTACCTTCCCTCCATTAGTAGAGCCACACATTTTTACGAAAAAGAGTGGTGACAAGAAATAGTAAGAGACTATTTCCAATTGTTTAAGAATTATATTCTACTATTAAAGAGTAGAAAGTCTATATTACTTTCATTTTGTAGTGATTTGTCGTGTTTTTGGTTGTCTATAACACTTCTAGAATTGATAAAATGTTCCACTTCAATAATTGTATTTAAGAAATGTTATAAAATTAGATTTGTTACTTCTAATTTAGAAAGTTGAGTCTATTCTATAAATATATCATTTTTAATTATAAAATATAGTTAAAGAAGTAATTTTGATAGTTTTAATAATTGAATAATTATTAAATTATAAAGTTTATATTATTATTATTATTAAATTTTTTTAATATATAGATAGTATTTTTGTCAATAAAATAATAAAATATCAAATAATAAGTTAATTATTAATTAACTATTATTAATATTAATCAATAAAAAAAATTTACTCTGACTTATTCTTTTTGTTTTTGAGAATGTTATTTTCGATGGACCATCGATAAAAGGTGATTGCCATGATAGCGAGTGGTGCAGACAAAATATCACTCACATGAGCGGAAGACATGAACGTAGCGCTGTTTTTCATAAGTTCCAAATCCGGTTCGCTGGTTATCACATATTTGTCCAAATTGCACAACAAATTGTGTGCAGCCTCGTCTGCTGTTATTGTCTTCACATTGTCTTCCATCTGTTGCACCAACTTTGGCTTATTTTTGTTCTCAATAGCGAAGCCTGGGGTGTCCATATTTGAAGGACCGTAATAATGCAAGTGCATTTTTGTTCCTAAAAACTCAAAGCGAAGAGAGTCGACCAAACCTTTCACTGCATACTTCGATGGACAATAAGCAGTATATCCAATGGACCCAATCAGTCCAAGACACGACCCAACACAGACTATATCTACATCAGAATTGGTTTTACTCTCATTATATAATTTCTGTGATTCTTTCATCATTCTGAGGTTGCCGAAGTAATTTAAGTCCATGTCTTTCTGATACGTCTCATATGAGACGTCTTCCAAAAATCCGGGGTGTGCGATCCCAGCAGTGTTTATTAACAATCTTGGAAATCCAAATTTGGAGATTGAGGTTTTCAGGGCGTCGGAGACATTTTCCGTCTTTGTCATGTCACAGATGTAATAGTCACAAGTCGTAACCGGATTCTGCTTTTGGCACTCTTCTTGGACTTCTTTGAGTGCTTTATCTGTCCGGGCAGCAATTGAGAGGTGAACGCCTTGTTTAGCAAGTCTGAGGGCAAGGGCCTTCCCGACACCAGCACTTCCTCCGTATATGAAAATGTGTTTACCGGAGAAGTCTCTGTCCTTTCTGGTGAAGGTGTACATAAAGTATAAATAACACAGACCCCCAATAGCGTATGTGATGATCAAAGCAAGAGCACACACTATAATAACACCAATTGGAAGTGTAAGGAATATCAGTGGAAATGAAAACAGTGACATTCCCTTTGTATTTTCAGTTGTAGATTGGGTTTAAACGTATTGACATTATAGTAAAAATTAAACTATTATTATTATTATACTTGAATTTGTTTAACATCAAATAACAAAGTAATTACATTAACTACAAACAGTCTCAAAACCAATTCATTGCAACGACACTCCTGATCTTAAGTGGTTTGAAAAAAGAGTTTATACATATCGGATTCGTCTTTGATGGGATATTAAACACTTTGTCCATAGCTGGGTGGAAGTAGACCAAATTCTCTGAAGTTATCCAAAACGCTCCATTACACGTGAAAACCAAATTTTTTTCGGTATTCAAGTGTAATGTTGTTTCTGGAGCAGAGATGACTCTGTGCCGCCTAATTTTGTTCATTAGAAACGTATTGAAGATGTAAAACTTTTTGTTTGTTGAGTTGTCCATGAATGACATCACTTCCTCTTGATAACACCCAAACGATTGTCCGTCGACTAAAGTGACTATTACCGTCACGTCCGATTTTCCATATACTTTACTGTTAAAATTACGTGAAGACAATTCGTCGACTGCGCTGTTATAAATAATGTTATAATTCTCTTTCTTAGTAATAGCCGATAGTTTTGGTATCAATTGTATTTCGTCTTGAGTATTGTTGTCCATGAAAGTGCGTGGAGAACCACTTAATGATGAATACGGAGAACCATGTTTAAGTGGAGCGGAGAGGCCAGTACTGAGTGACACTTTATTAAAAACAGGTACAGAAAAAGAAGAATCGAAGTCACTCTGGAATTGTGTTGAACAGGACAAATTTTTGGGTGTTGAAGATTTCTTAGATTTAAGCGAACCAGTTCGAATTTTCTTGTGTGACTTGGTGAACGACTTGACTTGGAGTTTTCCCAAGTCTTCGTAATGAAGCGAGTCTGTGAATGTTGGTGTTAAGGACTTGTCATAGACGCGATATTTGTTCTGAACATTTCCCATTTCTACAAATAATTAACAGTGTTTCAAGTTCAATTTAAATAGCCACACTATTTAAAAAGAAAAAATGAACCCCATATCCCGAATTAAGTGGGACATTTAACGTCTTTTTCTATATTCCAAACTGGTTTCAGTTTATACTGATTATTTGTTATAACCAAATTATAATTCCAATCAACTGTTATTCATTTAAATTGACAAATCGATGTTTAAATATTTTTGATGTGTTTTTTCCGTTTGCCTTTTCTTTTTAACCACCAAAAGAGCACAGCATTTATCGGCTTTTTTTAGTGTATAATTTCATTTATTTCTAATTAATTAAGAGTAAAACATGTAAAAAGACGGGTTTCAGTGTTTATTGTATTAAGTAAAGAATTTGATATGGCAATTTAAGTGGTTTTACCGTTTATTGTTGTTGTTAAATGTCATATTTAAAACTATTTTGAAACCAACATGTTGATATGGTATAATAATGATGAAATTGCCGATTCATTGCTTTTATTTTTGTTTTTATTATTTTATAGTAATATATATAATAATAATTTTAATATTTTTAATATAATTTAATTATTTATTTATTTTGATTTTTTGGATGTGTTCTGAATTCTTTTTTAACAAGAATTGTTATTTTTTAAAATAGTTTTTTATAAAAATATAATTAAGTTTGTTATTGTATAATGTTTTTACTATTGCCAATTTGAATTTCAAGATCTTAATAATTTCCCGTAAATTGCGGATATTTTATAGCGATTTTTTTGAGTTTTAATAAATTTTTTTTTGTATTTGGATTGTTATTTTTGACAGTTATTTATCTATTTATTATATCGAAACCAGTCTTCAATATTATTTATTTGTATCAAAACATGTTATTATATATAGTACAATTTTTTAATTAAATTCAAACTTGGGATTGAAATTATAATATTATATATTAATATAATATCTACAAACTAATGGAAGGATAATTACTTAATTTAAATGACTGAAGTTTGAATAGTTTTGTTTGTATATAAAATATGATTAATATTAAATGAAAATAATAAGAAATTTTTATTGCAGTTGAATTTTTTATTTTTTCACCATCATCAAATGTAAAAATATTTTTAACTTAACTCCCAAGAACAAAATAAATAAATGGAAATGCTTATTTAATCTTTTCCATTCTTTTCCAAAGAATACAAGTACATGTAACATATCACTACGATTTACTCAATAGTTATTAGATAAATAAGTTATATGTTTCAAACATTATACAAAAATGGAACAATGTAACCATATTTGTTACTTCATTTAAAGAAATTAACACGAATAGTTCCTTCTTGTGTTTTGTGTAATAAAGACAATTTGTTTTTCTTTGTTTGTCTTAATTAAAGGAATTCACAATGAAAGAAAAATGTGTTTTATGATATTTCATAACAAATAAAACTTGTTTGTTTGTATATATAAGATAACAAACAGTTTGACACAAAATCAAAGAATTCGAAAGGACAATAAATTACTCAGCAAGTTGTTCGCCATTTTTGTTTGGTTTTTCCTCCACTTGTTCCTCGTCCTCCTTTTTCTGATTTTCTTCTGTTTTGCCTTCAACGTTCACCTCCTTTTCCTCAAATTTCGGCACCTCCACATTATTCTTCTTTTCATTGTTTTCTTCAGCATTAACTCCAAGTTCAATTCCTGTTTCTTCCTTAATGTATGGTGCTCTTTTTCCATTGACATATTCTTTGTGGTGATTCTTAATCAAAGTTAAGAAGACAAAAGCTATAATGAGTAAAATGAAGACTGGAATTTGGGCGATTCTATATGAATAATTGTTCTTGTAGACATTATCTTTAAAAGTGTGTTTATTGAGTTGTTTGACCAAAGTCGAGAACACTATTGGCATCACAATCCCACCAGCTCTCGCAGCTATTTTAGTGACAGCACTGAACTGTGCAAGGGACTGAACGGGTGACAACTCCATGACCAATTGTCTCGACGCAGTATATACAATGCCAAGAGCTGGGCCAAGGAATATGACGGTTGGGATAACAAACCATTTCGACAGCACATATGTCGATGACACCCTCATCCCTGTCATAACAAAGAATGCCATTCCAATGAAGAATAATATCAGCATTAATTGCATTGCTCTCTTCGGTCCAAATTTGTGTAAAAAGAACGCCCAAGGGAATCCAGTCAACAGTGCAGTGATGTTCACCATCAAAAACACTATATCAGTCTGACTCTTCTTCAACCCACACATAGTCACTAACATTAACACAAAGAGGCCATTCACAACAGCAAGTGACGACAAAGTCGCACACCACGAGATGAACATGAAGACACAATCTCTGTTTTTAAAATACACTTTAAATGATTCTACTAAGTCCATCGCAATATACTTGATTGTCTCCCAAATAGGTCTCTTCGCTTGGACAGACTTTTTCTCGCTTGAAAAGAGATATGGGATAAATATGTACGTCCCAAGGAAGAAGTTGGCAAATATGATGAATCTGAGCGGCCCAAAGTCCGGCATTTGTCCTTTTGGTAATAAGTTCACATTCGAGTAATTGCCCCATATCATAGAAGAGCAGAACGAAATTGCAATACCCAAGATAGCGCCAGTAAATGAAACAGCACCACCAACACTCTGTGCAAACGTTCGTGTTTTCTGGTCCATTATATATGGAATTTGGCAGTCGTAGAAGAGTCTGACTATTTCATATGCCGTTCGAGCAATACAGAACAACACACAGAGGAGGTAATAATTCTCGAAGAATATACCAGCAATCAAAAAACACGTGAAATAAGTCATCGCACATATAACTACGGCAGACTTCCTGAATGAGTAGTAATCACTTAACCCACCGATAAATGGGGAAATTACCATTGCCACTGCATTTGCTGTTGCGTTACAAATTGTTGCAGCTTGGACACCAGCAGTGTTATCTAGTCCCGCGACTATAGACATCAACTGAAGTGTTGGACTCATTGTAACGTTTGTGAGACAGTTATAAAAGTGATATGAAATCTCGAAAAAATACCACAAAATGACGTTCCACATATTCGTTGATTGCGCTTCTTTAATTTGTGTGACAGACGGGTTTGATGTGTTTTGTTCCTCAGCCGATCCTTTGTTTTCAACTAAACGAGACACTTCTGTGACCGACATGATCTAATATTTAAGTTTTGTACATTAATTCTTTTTATTGAATTTCAAAGAGTTGGTTTATACTTTTCTAATTATTGTTCTTTTTCAAAAAAGTGTCATGAATGATTATGGTTGGTCTTTACCCTTTTTTGGTTTTAAAAAACAGGAGGTTCCAATTTTTTTTTATATTTCTGTATTTAGTTCTTTTATTTAGAAATTATTCGCTTTTTTTTGATAAGAATTTTCTTACAAAATTTCACTGTTTTGAATTTGTTTTTTCTTTGTTTTATTTATTGTTTTGAAATCGAAAAAATTACAGTAACTATATATTTTAATAATATTGTTATATTCTTACTATATATAAATTATTTGAATAAAGTCCAATGTAAATGCCAAATAATAATAAAATGTATTATTACTAATAACTTATAAGTCTTAATAATTTTATACACTATATAATAATTATTAATTTCTCTAAAATCATTAAAAAATAA